TCACTTCTTTCGGCATTGCCTATTTGGTACGGGTCTCGATTTCCAACTTATGCACGCAATTTTCGAGTATTTGAACAATATTCATAGAACTAGCAATTAACACAACCCCAGCTGATAAACCTGTCTGCAAAATCGGGATCCACTTACTGCTAATATCTATTGCAATAATAACACTATAGCCAATGTAAAATCGGTTGATTGGCAGATTACACGCAACACGTGTTCGCTCTTTTTGGAACCGAGATGGCCGACGGCACAGGATTGTAGGTAATATTGCTATTTTTAGTGCAAATCGCGGAACCCTCTATAGCTTGTATATGATAGCTGACTAGCTGTAGACATTAGCTGTAGATTGCTACGGTATCACGACGAGTAACCCCAGGACAATCGCCCCAACCCCCCACCCCATCCAGATAATTACTCCCACACCCTTTACTCCCCAGACAATTACCAATACAAATACCCTATCCAGGCATAAGAAAAATATATGTTAAAAATTTCAGCTATACTATTTTCTCATGACTGAGGATACACATTTCAGTGTTGACATTTCAATTTATGTTTATCTTAACATCTTAGCAATGAGTTGGCTGCTTCCATCCTCCATGGTTGGTTGCACTAAAACTTCCCCCTTCACACTGATAATATTTATTACAAAATTATGGCCAGAAACTTACTGGCCAAACGCATATACTCATGAGGCATGCCTTATCAGTTTTTGGTAGCTAACTTTATGATTTCACTGACCAAAACGATCATTAGGAAACTTTATATAGACTGCCTTCTATATATGAGAATAATTGCACCATACACACGCACGCACGCACCCACACTTGCACGCATACATGCACACACATAAATGTACACACATGCATGCACAAATAGACACAAAGAGACAAAGATGCACACGCACGCACGCACGCACGCGCGCACGCACACACTCACGCATGTACGTATGCACACACACGCACGCACGCACGCACGCACGCACGCACGCACGCACGCACGCACGCACGCACCTGCCACTCATCCTGGTTGAAACCACAGGCAGGTCCCAGGGCTAGTTTCTTCAGTTCATCTAATGGCTGTGCACGGAACAGTTTTTGTAGCAGCACAAAGATGATAGGAGACTCTGGTGATGTCTATAAAAAAAAGACATGGTGACAGGAACCAATTATGGCTTGCAACATAAATAGGCACCTGTGTTATAATTTAGCAGTGGACATGTGGTTTCTATGGCAAGTAATCTGAAACTATACGGTTAATTTATAGTAGGTTGAGATTATTAAGTGTATGTCACAAATCTTAATTCTCCTTACATCTAAGTAAGTGGTCATGCTCTCAATATATATTTGCATCTTGTCTTTTACATTTACATTTTACTTTTGTTTTTGAAAAAGATTAAACTAAATATTGAAGGCCAATTTATGCTAATTGTTAGAAAACACGTATCTAGACGTTCTTCCAAAACAAAAATAATCATAGGCAGATAGAGGAATCAAATTCCTAATATGTATACCTGAAATAGCACAACCAGACCTCCATGCCATGCTGCCTTCGATAAGTAATGCGTGTACAGCTTCTCCTTTGCAGATAGACAGTTGAACGCAACTAGACAGTCTAGGTTCACAACTGGACTGCTGTTCGGTAGGACGTATTGAGAACTCATACTGATTTCTGCGTGACAGATTGCAGAGATATACCACACCATTAGAAAAATGTATTATAAACCCTTGGGAAGTGTTAATAGATGATAGTGATAGATGAGTAGTTGGATAGAAGATCTATATAGCAATGTACATGTATATATATATATACACTTGCTTGCTATTGTTTAAAATGACAATAATTCATTTTAAAACAGTGCATGATGGCAATTATTTTTCAACATCATAAATAAGAATGTCAGCTCTATATATATATATGAAGTTATGTACATGCCAATTCTGTATCGTGAGAGTATGCACGCATATATGGTCACGATATGTTATCAATAACTTATATGCAAGCATTGGCAGCTAAGTTATAGCCAGTTTACCCGTCTAACATGCAATGTTTTTGTATATATAGGGTACTTTACAATATATTGCAGGGCTGCCAACTCTCACGTGTGCGGTGTGAGACTCACACAATTGAGGCTAATCTCACGCTCACACTCCAGGTCTGCTAATTCTCACGCATAGAGAAACAAACAGATAAAAAAAGAAAAAACCCCGAAGTACAGAGCATTTCCATTCGCTGAACGGTTCTAGATCTCGTCCTTACTTGCCAATGAGGCCATAATAAAAATATTGTTTGTTTGCCCTCACCCCGACTGACCCGCCCAAAAAGGGGCCAACTCAAAAAAATTTATTGATCTTTCCCATTCTTTTTTTATACAAATTGTATCGCTGTACATTATATAAATCTGTAGGCAATTCAACGTAATAGACACAAGCACACCCGAGCATGTAGAGTTTGTAGACACCATGCCGAATTTGTAAAAAGACCCCCCACAGATTGGCGATGGATGGATCAATCTTTGTAGTTTGATTGAACTCAACTACCTTATCCATCTAAATGCAGAGCCACAGTGTATTGCATTATATACATACAAGTGTATGTTTAAAAACTCACTTAAATATGCACCAGAATGCACAATTTTAAGCTGAAAAATGCTCCCTGGTGTGGTCCACACCGTCCCCCCACCCTCGCTCGTTCTGCTCCCTCACATAATCTCACTCTCAACTCTGACTCAATGTTGGCCGCCCTGATATTATAGATTTATGTATAGCTATACGTACCAATGTAAATAGAAATTAGTAGGCCTACATGAAAACGGAAAACTGACTGATACTAGCCAACAGTAAAATTACAGGTATTATTTAGTATTAGCGATTCAGCTTTATGCTTTATGTAGCTAGGGCCTATATAGCCTCAAATGCTCTCCACGTTACATCATGTATAACAGGGAGACAAGAGACATGACATGTATGACATCAAAATCATGCAAACTTTGCTTCAAACAAAACTGGCAATCTTGCATTGAACTGCATTTCTCAACGGCCAATGAAATCATCGCTGTTCGGTGTGGTTCAATGCAAGATTGCCAGTTTTGTTTGTAGCGAAGTTTGCGCGATTTTTATGTCGTGATGTTTTAATAAAATAAACGTGATTAAAGAGGAGAATACTGCATGACAAGTGTTTTGTAATGTAGGTAAGATGTTAATAAAGTGACGGCTTTAGGTATTTCTTTGATTTTCTATGTAACACGGCCGTAAATAGTGAAAAGGTTGTCCAAACTGCATGCAGCGCCCCCCTTCGCACACTCAGGTTAC